TTGCGGGAAGGCTCGACTGCGAAGCGATGAGGATGACGCTTCCCGACCCTGAAGGTTATGAGGGTGATCCCTCCCTCCCAGGCGATTACGAGTGGTGGATTGGCATGAAAGCTAAGGCTATTCAAGCTGCCAAGCTTTCCTCCCGGCTCGAGGCTCCCTCCACTTCTCCGATCCAGCCGAGCGGGTCGAATTTTGAGGGTCGAATAATGAACACTATTGATGAGAGCGACGGAGATGCTGACTCTTAAATTCGTGTCCCCAGGCCTGTCGCCTTTTGTAATTTTTCTTTTCTGTCGTTCGTTTTTACTCATTTGTTTCTGTCTCGACCTAATTCTTAAATTGTAAAGGTCGAGATGATTTTTGTAATGAACCTATTTTGAATATTATCTTTCGTCTTCTATGCTTGAGTTGTCCTGTACTCGCGACTTTATAATTTAAATTGGTTTTAATCATGAATTCATCGAGGCTTCGCAGTCGTAAATTTATCGACATCTTATGTGTTGACACTTTTTAGTTGAAATGACAATTTGTAATTATTTGAGTCGACTTTGTAGTCATAGGCTTCGTAGTTCTGCCGAGATTTTGCTCGAGGTATACAACTTTGAAGTTGTCTTAAATCGACTTTGTAGTCGTAGGCTTCGTAGCCTTGCCGAGATTTCGCTCGGGGCATATAACTTTGAAGTTGTTTTAAATCGACTTTGTAGTCGTAGGCTTTGTAGCCTTGCCGAGATTTTGCTCGAGGCATACAACTTTGAAGTTGTCTTAAATCGACTTTGAAGTAGGCTTCGTAGCCTTGCCGAGATTTCGCTCGGGGCATACAACTTTGAAGTTGTTTTAAATCGACTTTGTAGTCGTAGGCTTCGTAGCCTTGCCGAGATTTCGCTCGAGGCATACAACTTTGAAGTTGTTTTAAATCGACTTCGTAGTCGTCTTCCCAACCTGTTGTATTTATTTTAAGAAAGTTTTAAGTATGCGGATAATTGTGGTAAAATGTAAAAAGACAATCCAATCATCAAACATAACATTCATTTCATTACTGAATTTGATTCCAACGTTCCTCAGTACAAAAAGAGGCTTGAGACTCAGCCTTTAGGCGTAAAAGCGTTTAAGATGGATCACATTCCAAGATCGAGGCAATTGGCGACCTTCCCCATCCTCTAACTCGTATGCTCTTCTCTCGAGAACTTTTGTGACTGTGTAAGGCCCTTCCCAGTTGGCCTCTAGCTTCCCGACATGTTTGAGGGCGTCTGCACGCTTGAGGACGAGATCCCCTACTTGGAATCGTCTGGTTTGGACTTTCTTGTCGAATGCTGCACGCATCTTTTGTTTGTATTCAACTGTTCGCAGCCATGACTCTTCTCGTCCTTCTTCAATCAAATCGAGGGCTTCTTTGGCCAGTTTCTCGTTCTTTTCCTGTTCAAAAAATATCGACCTGTGCGAACTTAGTGAGATT